GATTCATACAGTTCATCCATGCACTCTTTAAATGTCTGCCACTGTGTATCCACTGTGATTCCTTTAAGGAATGCTCCCAATTTAAAACAGCCAGCTCATGCCTCATACCATCACAGTTTCATTTGGATTCATGACCCTAATCTCAGAATCAACTATGTCACTTAACATCATCAAGTTATGTTTCCTTTGCCCCAAGGACCCTCGCACATCTAAGCTGCTAATTATTGCTTTCTCACTACATAATACCCAGTCTAACTACACCATTTGAGGAACGTTTTTCCACATCCAAATCTAACGTGTCAATGGGGTGAAGATGGTGGAAACATTATTCCCAGATAGCAAACTTGAGCTAGCAATCTTTCAGTACAAAGGTGCTAACCGATTGAGCTACAGTTTGGAAAGTCCTGTACAGCTGTCAATATTGGAAGAATTCAGCAAAATTCAAGGTAAATCCCGAGGGGAAGAAACTTTGGCATAGAGGAAAACTAATCCATGTATTACAGGCAACAGAAAAAAAAATTATTGCCGAAACTCAGCAGGTCTGACAGCATCTGCAGGGAGAAACTAAAGTTCTTGCTTTGAGCCTGGTCACTGATCAAAAGATATTATAAGGGTGTTGTGATAGCTCCATTGAAAATAAGAAGCACGGCCAAGAACTTTAAGGGTGAATTTAATGCATAGAGTGGTCACTCATTGGTGAAATGCCATTAAGAAAATATTAGCAAGAAATATGAATTTTCACGCTCCATGCACATTAGGAAGTAATTCTCTGCAATCAAAAGAATACTAATGAACATAAGATTGGATGATGGACATCATCCCTGGAAAGAAGAAAAATGAGGATAAATCTGATTGAAAAATATAAAGTTATTATGAGACTTGACAGGACGGTTGATGAGAAGGTGCTTCTTCCAGCTGGGGACAAAGTCTCTGAATAAGAAGTCGACCATTTGGGACTGAGATGTCTTCACCCAAAGAATCATAAATCTTTGGGATTTTTTTTAATCACAGAGAGCTGTGGATGCACAGTCATTGAGCATATTCGAGACAGACAAGAATCTTAATAGTTATGGGGGTATTGCAGAAGATGGAGTTGAGATAGACAACCAACCATGATATTGTTCAAAGGCACAACATGTTTTAAAGGACCTACTGTGGCTCTATTCTTTACGTTATCTTAGGATCAGTATAAAGGTAGTTGGGAAAAGCTTAAACTGATGGGAGATGACAGTCCAAGGCTAAACATAACACACAGACATCAAGTGGACACAAGGTATTCCATTTCCCTGTGCCTTATATCATCATAGTGTCAGACTATCATAAGTATATTTCTTTCATGGTGCAGTATTTTCCAATTGCTTCAAACATCATTTTGCTCTTAAACTACAGTCCTTGTCTAAAAAGGCTAAGCTCTTGAAACATAGTCTTACATCTTGCTGCAGTTTCCAATGAAGGGCTCAACACTGCTTCCTTCATCTTTTCACGCATTGTTTTTGTCTGTCGTACGTTAACACGTGACTTGGTGGCATAATTCTGGAACAGGAAAGCTGGTGGTTATTGCTATTGAACCAGTAAAATATTGTGAAGTGGGAAAGACACACATTCAAACAGAAGGAGAGTTAGGGGATGACACACTGATAAATAAACAGACAAGTTCAAGAAACATCTCAAGTTCATAATACATAAAATCAACACAGTTACCAGTATTGAAGAGTGACTTTTCTGGATCTAAACGCAGCAATCATTGCAGTCTTTAACTAACACCTGCGTACACCTTTTGCTACATCTCTACAAAGCCAGTTAATTTACAGCCCACAGAAAGCCACTATAGTTAACTACCTTAACTATCACTGGAAGAGAACCAAACAAGTAGAGGTACAGAACCCTATTAAAATAATTGCGGGACTGAGACACTGAGAAACATCAGCCAATATATTAATACAAATCTCTGGAACAGGTGCGACTTGAACTCAGGCTTCCCTTTCTAAGCCACAGGTAAGCTGAAGCAAGCGTAGAGATGAGTAGAGCTGCATGTAGATAGTCTTTGTGAATGAAAGAATATGGAGTGTTGAATAGAATGTTAAGCTTGGGAACAGATGAGTGCTGTTTGACGCACTGGCCAGGGAGATGGACTGTTTCTGTGGTGGGGAACAGCATTTGTAACAAGATGTGAAATCAGTGACTTAGTTTTACAACAGAGCATAAAAGCACATGAGATCATTGGTAGTGAGGTTAGGGTTCAGAGCTGTCAGTGTACATGAGAAATATGAAGGGGACCACATGTCCCCATGTTGGATCCAAAGTAATTTCTCAGTACTGGGTTGAGAAACCACTGCAGCAGAATTGCTGTTTTTTAATCCAGTCATATCTATCCTGTTATAGCCAATGTCATGGGAACACCAACTTCTCTAGTTTTCTTCAAAAGAGGCATTGGCTGACTTTCACACTTACTTAAGTGGACTGAGCATATTCATTGTTACTGTATCACAATCTTGTTTAATGACAAACAAACTCACTTGTTTGGGCTGCAGAAGCCACTGAGTGCCTTTAAGGTTGCAGCTCCTCCATGCTGGACCCCCTTGGGTGAGAACAGGCCTCAGGCTCAGAGCTGGTAAATTCCTCAGACAGGTGAACTTTGCTGCCAACATGATGTCTCAGCATTTAATTCTGATCGTAACTGTCAAGAAAGCAAAGAGACATATCAGATGTAGCAGGTGCGTCATACTTTCGGTGTACAATATTGCTGAACTACTCCCCAAAAACCCATATTAGAGACTCTGATGAGGAGAATGAGAACCAGAGAGCTCAGGAGGTTATTAATAAAATGAATACTTGCTTGGAAAGACGTTTGTGCTTTCCTCTATTCTGGATTCTTGGTTATTGCACTAAGCCAGCTCTAAGTAAAAATGTTTATTCTTCAATGAAGGACATTGTTTGACAAAAGTGTGATATCTCTTCTAATAGTACACACAGATCTCTGATCATAGCTTGCTTCATCATCTTGATCGATTACAGGAGATCAGCTCAGTCTATGTCTCTATTGTGGTACAGTTACAAACATTTACAATTGCATCATTCATTCATAAAATGATGTAATTTCAAAAGTATATGAGAGAATTGGGGAAGCCAGATGAAAAATTACACCCTTTACCACAAGAAATCAAAAAGAATGGGAGCAATAAGATAAATCAAATGGAAGTAATGGTGACCTTGGATCTTGAAAAACCTGCAGCTGCTCTACAAAAGGAAAGAGATGGGAAAATAGGGCGTTTCATAATTCTGAGATCCAGAGAGAGAGACAGAGAAAGAGATAAAGTCAGAACAACATAAATGTGATACAGTACATCACTGGATACAATACCCTGACAATGTCATTACAAAATATTCACTTGTTCCACTAAAAGGTTGAGCGCGCTACGGCTTTTCTCTTTAGAATGATGAAGGATGACAGGTGACTTGATAGAGGTGTACAAAATGATCAGAGGTATAGATAGAGTAGACAGCCAGAGACTTTTTCCTAGAGTGGAGGTAGCTTTTACAAGGGGACATAGTCTTAAAGTGAAAGGAGGTAGATATCGGGGAGACGTCAGAGGTAGGTTCTTTACTCAGAGTGGTCAGGGCGTGGAATGCATTGCCGGAGAGGGCAGTGGAGTCGGCCTCATTAGGGGCAGTTAAGCGGCTATTAGATAGGCATATGGATGATAGTATAAGGTAGCGGTGAAGTTAGACAGACCTTAGGTTTAGCGTAAATGTTCGGTACAACATCGTGGGCCGAAGGGCCTGTACTGTGCTGTACTGTTCTATGTTCTAAAACTAACAGCTTGCCTCACTTGGTAAGACTCTTGCCTCAGAACTAGAGGAATTGTAATGGAGTTAGAGTTGGGGGGGTGGTGGTCTAGGTCAGTACTGAGGGATTGCTGTGCTGCAAAAAGCATTCACAGAAATTGCAGGAGCCCATGGTGTTATGCTGTCCTGCTTGTCTCCATCCAGCCTAATCCCAATTCCCAATCATCAACTCTGGTTTTGTAGGTGATGTAGCTTCAGGTATATCTTTCAATGTTGAGTGTTTCTGCCTCAACCACTCTTTCAGACTGTGAATTCCTGATCTTCCATCATTCTCTGGTGATAAGTATCAAGGGGAAATTTTTCAACATCACTTAGTCACCTTTAAATTTATGCCTCCTGGTTACTCAGAGATACCCACCGCCCTCTGGAACCTTCCTTGCCTAACCTTCCCTCTGACTCCATCCCCTCCCTCAACCCCACCTATTGTCACGTATTCACCGTCCTTCCTAACCGTCCGCTCTCTGATGCTGAACATTCTGTACTTAGCAAAGCTTCCAGTTTTAACCCTCTGCGTCTCCACCTTAATGAATTTTGGGCGTCTTTGTCCGTGTGCCCATTTCTTTGGGCAAGAGTCCTCTCCCTGTCCCACAGAGCACTTCACCCACCTCCAACACTCTCCCCTCCACCTGGACCACTCCCCCTGGCCTTTTACCTTGACTCAACCGGTTCATCGAAAACTATCAACGTGACATTGATCACCTCAATTTCTCGGCATCCCCCCCGTCACCCGTTCCAACCTATCTCCCCGAACTGAGTGCACTCCATGCACTCAGCTCCAACCCTGACTTTGTTATTAAGCCTACCAATAACGGTGGTGCTGTTGTAGTCTCGCATTTAAAGTTTTTGGAAAGATTTGTAGTTCGGGTTGTGGATGAACTTGTAAACTTGCTCGTCGAGCCAATGTGTTTGGTTGCAGACGTTTCGTCACCCTGCTTGGTAACATCGTCAGCGCCAGGTAAAGCCAGTCCTGAAGAAGGGTAACACCCGAAACGTTTCCTTCAGATGCTGCATAGCTTGCTGAGTTCTTCCGTCTTCCTACCTTGACTCAGGTTTTCCTCTTCTGGTCCAGTCTCTGTCCACAGTTCCTCTGATGCCTTACACCAGTTTCAGAATTTTCAGTTTGCAGATTCCTCTTCACCATGGACTTGCAATCCCTCTACATGCCCATCCCCCATAAGGATGGTCTCTGACTCTCCTCTACTTCCTGCAGCAAAGCCCTGAACTGTCCCCACCCGCCACCACCCTCTGCTGCTTGGCTAAGCTTGTCCTCACCCTCAACAACTTTCTCTCAATTCCTTCAGGTCACAGGGGTGGCCACGGGTACTCGCATGGGTCCCAGTTATGCCTGGCTCTTTGTGGCGTAAGTGGAACATTGTTGCAAGTCCTATTCTGGCCCCCACTCGATGATATCGTCGGTGTTGCTTCCCTCTCTCGCCTGGAATTGGAAAGGTTTATCGATTTTGCTTCCAGTTTCCACTGTGCCCTCACTTTCACCTGGCCCATCTCTGACTCCTCCCCTCCTCGAAGTCTGTTTCTATTTCTGGGGATAGACTGGCCACTGACATCCACTACAAATCCACCGACTCCCACAGTAACCTGGACTATACATCCTCGCACCCTGCTTCCTGTAAAGACTCTATTCCATTTTCCCCAGTTCCTCTGCCTCTGGCATATACATTCCAATGATGCCAAGTTCGACAAGGGATCCTCCAAAATGTCCACCTTCTTCCTCAACGGAGGATTGCCCAGCACCGTTACCAACCGGGTCTGACCCATCTCGTGCCCTCACCCCTTCTCTTCCCTCCCGCAACAGTGATAGGGTTCCCCTTGTCCTTACCTACCATCCCACCAGCATCCACATCCAGAAGATCATTAGCCGCCATTTCCAGCACCTCCAGTGAGATGCCACCACCAGACACATATTCCCCTCCCCTCCCTTGTCCATCTTCCACAGGGACCTTTCCCTCTGGGACACCTTGGCCCACCGTTCCTTCATTCCCAACACCCCCCACAGCCCCATGGCACCTTTCCCTACAATTGCTGAACTTGGAACACTTGCCCATTTACCTCCTCCCTCCTCACTATCCAAGGGACTAAATATACCTTCCAGGTGAAGGAGTGCTTTACCCGCATTTCACACAGTCTAGTCTACTGCATTCGCTGCTCATGATGCGGTCTCTTTTATTTTGGGGAAACGAAGTGTACACTGGGTGACTGTGTCGCAAAACACTTGTGTTCTGCCACAAAAATGACCTTGAGCTTCCAGTTGCCTGCTGCTTCAACACACCACCCTGTTTCCTGGCCAACATCTGTCTCAGGCTTGCTGCAGCATTCCACTGAAGCTCAGCGCAAGGTGGAAGACTACCACGTAACTTTTCGCTTGGGGACCCTGCAGCCCTCTGGACTCAATATCAAGTTCATACAATTTTAGGGCTTGAACTCTCCTGTGGCCTAGCGCCCCCATACCAGGCCTTGATATCACACAGTCTGCTGCTACACACAACCCAATGCTAGCCACTAACAATCTCCGTTAACAGATATTCACCCTCCTAGCCACTTTGGTTAAACAGAAAAAGGAGTGGATAACATTCTCTCTCCTTGGGATCAATTCCCACCTATTGTTTACTCCTTTGCCCCTCCCCCCATCCTATCTTCTGCATATAAACTAATATTTTCCTAGCTACCATCAGTTCTGACAAAGGGTCACCAGAGCCAAAACATTAACTCTGATTTCTTATCACAGATGCTGCCAGACTTGATGAGCTTTTCCAGCAGTTTCTGTTTTTGTTTCTGATTTACAGCATCCGCAGTACTTTGGATTTTATTTATTTCTTTACTTTTCTAATTTTTTCCCCTAAGAATTTGATCGTGAATATCTGTACTGAGGTACCTTTGTACCTAAGATGGCGCTGTAATGTGGCGACTGTAAACTTTTCACTGTACTTAAGTATATGATAATAATGCTAATTCAATTCAAGAGATCCAGTCCATCTAGACTCCTTATAACCTGTTCAAAAGAAGAAACAATGGACACGAAACACTAACTGGTTTTGCTCACAGATACTGCCAGTGCTGCTGAGTTTCTCTAGCAACTTCTGTTTTCGTATCTTATCCATCCTGCCATCTTCAGGAATCTATTGGTACGCACTCCAAGGTCCATGGTTGTTTTACACTTTGGCAAAGTATCACTTATTGTGTATTGGTGATCTTCTCCAAATGCAGTTCAGAGAAGTGCAGAATTAAAATCCATTTGTTACTATTCCACCCACTTGAGTAGTCCACTGATATCTTTCTACAGTCCACAGCTTCACTTTTAATCAACCGCATGGCCGAGTTATGTCTTGTCTTATGCAAATCGTACTAAATCATGGCTCTGGCTGCCAGTTCAAACGGTTCATCTGGATGTTCAACGTCTTAGAATACTACACAAACAACAGATTTATCCCACTATCCTGATCAGAAATCCTTCAAAACCAGAATAACTTATTTTTGTAAGATCTCATTTTGCACAGAATGTCTGCAATGCCTACTGTTGTCTAAGTGAAAAACATGGCGAAGCTCTGGTCTTTCTGAAATGTGAAAATCTATATATCAGTGCAACTTTAAAAAATCAACTTAAAATAAATAAAAATAAACTTAAAAAATCAAACTTTCAAAACACTTGCTTCTGGGTTAGGTTAAAACAATCAGAGTACAATAATGTCAAGTGGAGAAACTGAAGGTTATTCAGTTTTCATATTCAAGTCAAGGTAACATCAACACAAAAACATGGTGGAACAGATACCTAGTTTGATTCTACCTCATTACAGCATTCACTGTTGAGATCTGAACAATAACCACATGATGCAATACAGGCAGAGTTGGCTGCCTCACACAATTACAATCCTGCCATCCCATGACTAAAGGATTAGAAGCAGCACAGAAAATGAGAAAATAATCTCTCTCACCCCGGGGGG